AATTTTTTGATGACTTGATGACGTAGGTGGGTACAGGCGACGTTTTTATCCGGTCGATTTTCTTGGAAATGGTGTAATTTAAGAAAAAAGTCATTCTATAAAAAGTGCTTGAAATTATATAATGAGTTGATTTAAGTAAAAAAATCGGACATTATGGTCCGTTTTTCATATTTTGCTAAACGTCGCTGTACCCACCTACGTCATCAAGTCATCAAAAAATTCCAAGATGCCCGAAATGCAAACACCTTTTCTCTATGACATTACTGATCTTTTTTTATAGTTTTATTTATTTTCAGCTTCTATCGAACCACGTGCTATGAACATTTCTGACGCGGGCTCATAAGGACAATATCTATCATAACACATTTAGGAGCGATTTTAAATATGCCTGAGAAAAAAAGGGGGAATAAATAATTTTATCTACAAACAGCTTGGCAGCAATCGATACATTTACACCACTGTTTAATTTTTTTTACATTTTATTAATTGATTAAATTGACTTCTTCTCCCTTCCTTTTCAATGCCTGTCTGACGACGTACTAAGAACATACTCGAAAGGGGATCGCAAGGAACATATGAACAACAACATGGAAACATTCATGTTGGGGGATGGAATGAGTGTGCGTCTATCTACGAAAGAAAGCAGACCAGGGGTGCAAAATCTGCCTGCAGATCGGGAGGTAGGAAGGAAATGTTCGGAAGAGGACGTTTTCGTTCGAAAGGACATCGAATAAAAAGTCGGAAAAATTTCGATCATTTTGGCTTTTAGGTGACGTTTCGAGGAGATTTTCAGAAAAGGAAAGCGAAAAGAAAAAGAAAAAGAAAATGTTATCATTTTGAAAATTTAGGAGAGTGAGGAAATTTTTCGGAAGTGAGCTGGGAAAAATTCCAGTTGGCGCACAGTGGATCGAGTTAATCAGAGAGATCGGACGTAAAATTTTTCACTAAAACTGCAAATTTTAATGTTTTTTTGGTCACATTTTAAATTCCATGCAGTGTTCGCGACTCACAGGCGCCAACGCGCCAAATGCGCCTGAAAAACCGGACATGGCGCCTAAAAAATGAAGGCTCTGCGCCAATGTGGCCCCTAAAAATTGCCCCCTAAAAATCTGAATTTTCATATCAGGTGATCATTCGAAATTTTCAGCACTACAAGCGAAGGCTTCTTCTATTCTTCACGATTTCATCCTTAGTGCTTGTGTCTTCCCCAAGTTACAGCTACTCACTAGTTCTGTGACGAAAACATCTTGCGTCTAACTTATCACTAAATGCACCTTAAAATATAGGCAAAAAGTCAATTTGGCCCCTAAAAAATCTTCAATGGCGCCTAAAAATCGGGCTTGATGCGTCAAATGTCTCCTAAAACTCAAAGGTTAGTTTCGAACACTGATTCCAAGGGTTGCTTCGAAAAGAAAATTTTACGGGGAGACCAATGAAACCACTTTTAGAACCTCGCAATTTCGTATAAACGTACACGGAAAAAAAATTGCTGATTCAACAATTCAATTGCTAAAAACAGTGAGTGCAATGTTTCAACGCAGATTTTACAACAAAAAAATGCTACTTTAACCACATTGTAAACTAATTTAACCACGGGGGTGGTTAAAGTAGCATTTTTTGTTGTAAAATCTGCGTTGAAACATTGCATTCACTGTTTTTTAGCAATTTTACAACAGATTTTACAACAAAAAAATGCTACTTTAACCACATTGTAAACTAATTAAACCACGGGGGTGGTTAAAGTAGCATTTTTTTGTTGTAAAATCTACATTGAAACATTGCACTCACTGTTTTTAGCAATTGAATTGTTGAATCAGCAATTTCTTTTTCCGTGAAGTTATAAGCTTCTACAGTTTCCAAATTTTGTCCGACAACTCCTATCGACTGGATCCACTGTGTGGCGTGAAGCGACGAGCCGAGTGACACTTTTTGCACCCCTGAGCAGACTACGAGGCATCATCAAAGTTTACGTACTTTTCCGGGATGCGAAGGAAATTCGTGAGAGCCGCGCGGACGCGAACGGAGCTGCTTTGCCGCGAGGGCGCGAGCGGAGCTGGTTTTCCGAGAGCGGCGCGGGGAGTCCGGCTGGCAAACAACTGCCAACTGTTTCAAAACAAAACTGGGACCGCGGCATGCGCTCCAGGGTCCGGGGACGGTCCCGCGCAGCGAGGAGTCCTCCCTCCACACGCCCAGATCATCCCCCCGGACCCCCAGACCCGAGACGAGATCCCTCGAAGTACGGCTCTCAGGCCGCACTCACGTTCGTCCCTTAAAAAGCTCCGTTTCTAAGGGCTGTAGTCACAGTCGTAAAGTGAAATTTCGAATGACTCGAATGAAAATCACGAAATTTGAAATTTTTCAATTTTTTTCCGGAAGTATTTTTTATTTTAAACGAGGTGGAGAAATGGTGCTGAGTCCACACCGTTTCGCAGGGAAAACAAAGCCGAGAAGTTCCAAAATGTTAAAATGTTTTCAATTAGAGTCCAAAAAAAAAAAAATTGCTCTAATAAATGAACACTGGAAAAAGAAACACAGTGTATCTAGAGTCCAGACTCTTGAAAATATTGACAAGGAAAAAACTCTTGATTCAATCGGATACTTTTTGCTTGAATCAAAACGAAATCCGCCTAAATCAAGAAGCTCGGTTTTTCAATTCAAAGGAAAATCGGATTGACTCAATAGTATTTTCTCTTGTCAATGTTTTTAAGAGTCTGGACTCTAGATCCAAGCTACTTTTTTTTTCAGTGTGGTCATCGCTAAACTTCTCACTTCTTTGCTTGAGTATGGAGTCCAATAACAAGTGGACCTCCCTAAGTTATAAAGTTCATCATGATAGAAAATCGTATACTTCTTTTATCTAATCTAACTTGAACTAATTTAAACCTAACCTAACCTAACCAATGCAAACTTTTTTACGAGAACACGTTTTTTCGTTTTTATTTCACAAAAATTGTCTTAATACATATAAGGACCCTATGCTCGTGTACTGTTAGAAAATACCTGCACACAGGAAAAAAAAAGTATCGCAATCCCAACTATACTCCTAGCAGATTTCGGCGCCAGATATCAGAATAGTTTCACAAACCACCCTGGTAAAAATTGGCAGTAGAATCTATGTTCCAAAATACCATCGACTTACAGCCACCTGTAAGTTTTTCCAATAGCTTCTATAGCCGGCTACACAATTTCTTATATCCTTTTATAGCCGATGGCGATTATGCAATAGCCAGGCGATAAAGTGTATACTAAATGTTACTAATTACGGATGCTAGGACTTAGTGAGTTTTTGGACTACCGCTCTCTTTTTGGGACGTAGTATCTTGATTTATTTTGCGAGGAAAGCTCCGTACCTTCGATGGATTCCTGCAATTCCTAATATGTTAGCGCGCCTTTAATTTCGTAAGGTAGTGTGCAATACTTCTAGTGTGAAATAGTTGCTTCAAGCGCCGTGGCACGCTGCGGCTCGGCGGGCGGGCGGCCAGCGCGAAACGCGCAATGGCGCCTACAAACCTAACAGGGATACTTCACGCATTGCGCAATGCGTGAAGTATCCCTGTTAGGTTTGTAGGCGCCAGTGCGTCGCCGCTCTGCTTTGTGTTAGACTCTAGTATTTAATCTGGCGGAGTCAGCGTTTTTCAACTCATGATTTTGAAATGTTTGCAACGCTCTGTGTGGATTATTCTCATTTTAATTGATTAAAAAAAAAATATGTATTAAAGGAAAATATAATGTGTGGTTTGTAAATATTAAAGTGGTTCCGTATCAAACTTAATGATTTTCAAAGCACACGAATTTCTACGCAATTTCTTATAGCCTTTCATAGCAGAGGGCGATAAGGTGTATAATCCGGCGAAAGGAACTATAGCCCGCCTTCATAATTTTTTATCGCTTCGTATAGCCCGACTCTTTGATTTTCTCCGCTTTCTACAGCCAGCTATATGATTTTCTATCGCCTCCTATAGCCGGCTATAAGAATTCTTATAGTATTTTGAAACGCAGCTCCTATCGCCAATTTTTACCAGGGCAGACATATGGTTAAGTCAGCTGAAAGTGTGGTTGGATGAACCATAATTGTAGCTGGTACGTCCTCATAGTCAGTAGAAGTGTGGTTGGATTAACTATACCGCTCGCAGGGGCTTTTAAACATCTAGCTGGTGCAACATCTCTTATGGCTAGCGCCAAAATCAGCTGGAGGAATAGTTGAAATTGTGATACTCTTTTTTTCAGTGGCATCCTACAAGTTTGGACGCTATGCTTACTTCGATTTTTCGAAAAAATTATCCCTCGTTAAAGTGAGCATGGAGCCCAATATCGTTGACGTGATGAGCAACCGAACATCATGTAGACGAGCATGGAGTCCAAAATCACCCTAGTAGCAGAACAAATTTTTGTTTTTCTAAAAAAAGTATAAAAAAAACATATCTGTTATCTAAATTTTTATATAAAAAACGTGTAACGCTTATATAAAAAAAAATCAAAGTTCAGACCTGACCGTAATATATGAAAAATGATAAAAGCTAGATGAGGTAATTTTTTTTTATACGCACATCTTTTATTCTTTTATATAACGCATGCACACGAAAGTGTTAAAAGTGAACATTTTTATGTAACGATTATATAAAAAAATAGGTCATCATTTTCGTGAGCTTTCCGCGAATTTAAAGAATTTTCAGTATGTTCGTGAAAAGCTCACGAAAATTATAACATTTTTTTATATAATGGTTACATAAAAATGTAACACTTTTGTATGCATGCATTATATAAAAAAAATTAACTTTCGCACATAATATTTGAAGACTTATCATCAATAACGTGCTAAGTGCCAAAAAATGGAAAACGGAGTTAGCACTGGAAATGCATGCTATGCGCCATTGACAACATAGGGTAAAGCGTGCTAAGTGTCATTGCACTTCGTTGCAAATCGTTGCAATGGCACTTAGCACGCTTTACCCTATGTTGTCAATGGCACATAGCATGCATTTCCAGTGCTAACTCCGTTTTCCATTTTTTGGCACTCAGCACGTTATTGATGATAAGTCTTCATTTATCTTTTCTTTCTGTGGTTCTGCTACTAGGGCAAGGACGCGATGCTACATTACCAATATGTGTCTGAACCTCAACCTGATGAACTACTACGGTCGGCTCCCGCCGGACGAGAGGGTCCGGAAAAGTCCTGGCTGTTTCGCCCGATGAAATAAGGCGGCCCTGCAGCAGTGGAGGGTGGACTAGCTCTTCGGCCACCTCCTTGGCCACTTGTTCGAGGCCCCGCCGGTGCCGACGCAACCGGGGCGGGTGGGTACGCTGCTGCGTTGGCCGCCGCGACAGCTCGTGCACGCTCGCTCAACTGCCTTTGTTGAACCCTGATCATTTCAGCCTCCCGCGCTTCTCGTGCCGCTCGGTCCCGCTCTTGGATGGCGTGATCCGCGCACCTCTTCAGAGAAAGATACGTCAAGCCCGTGTATATGCACCCGAGTGCATAGGTGGGGATGAGTACAGCGCATGTCAAATAACTGTCGATGTTTTTGCAGGCGGCATTTCGGACTTTGGGACAAGCGGTCCTGTAGGCGGGGGGGAGAGCTAGGAAAGCGTTGACGGCCGTGCTGCAGCCCGACATGGCCAACTCCGCGTTGGGCGTCAAAGGGTCCGGGTTATTATTGCTGCGGCTACGCCGTGTGCTGCGGGAAGTTTGGGTATTCGCTGTAGCCTCGTTTGGTTGCCTCTCCTTGACGAGCTGGTACTGCCGACAAGGGTCGACCGATGACTGCTGACTTGGGTTCATGTTCCTGTCGATCACAAACAACACTCTTCGGATGTTTTCATTCAGGTCACTGGACGGTGGATTACCAGGCATGGTACTATCGAACTGCAAGTGGAGAAAAGTTCGGCCTCAATAGATTTTTCGAATCCTTTTCATCCGCAGCACTGGAAAAAAAGTCGCTTGGATCTAGAGTCCAGTCTCTTGAAAACGATGACAAGAAAAAATACTCTTGATTTGATCGGATTTTTACTCGGATCAAAAGGAAATCCGCTTAAATTCAGAGGATTCGTTCTTGATTTAAGCAAAAATCCGATTGAATCAAGAGTATTTTTTCTTGTCATCGTTTTCAAGAGACTGGACTCTAGATCGAAGTGACTTTTTTTCCCAGTGAGGGCTCCCACAATTTCTTCATCTTCAAATTCCCTCACTTTCCCTGACTTTTCCCCGACTATTTGGGCGTATGTCGGCCGAACAGAACTATGTGCGGGTGGGGACGATTTGGTGTGCTCGTTAGTTCTTGGGCAGTAAGAATGCTTGGGAATTATAAGGCGCCAGTGTCGTCAGCGGCAACGAAGCCGTCTCCGTTGTCAACCTTCCTCCGTTCTAACTCATGAGCCCTGTCCACAACGCACTTTCGCATGCCCACGGCTCATGAGTCCCGCATTCAGTTGACACATACTTCTGTTTGCTGAATTTAAAATATTTTCTATTTCACCAAAAGGAATCACGCCCACTGGCCATATTGTTTCTTATTATCCACCTCGCAACGAGCACACCCCCCATCTTTCCCACCCACGCGCAGCTCTGTCTGGTAGAAATACGTCCATTTTTGCTTTACCCTGAAACCAAAATTTTCGGATTCCCTGACATTCAAATAAAGCTTCCACTTTGATTATTTTTCCTCTAAATTTCACCCAATTCTGCTGAACGCACCTCGCAAAACGCTCTGACTTCCTGTGAATTCCCTGACTTCCTCTGAATTTTCCCGGTCGCCGCAAATTCCTTGACTTTCCTTGGCCTTTCCGGTTTTCTAGACCGCCGCACAGTGAATCGAATCAATTAGAAAGTCGGACAAAATTTGGTACATATACCTTTAAAAGCTTATAACTCCGTTTATGCAAAACTTTGAGGTTCTAAAAGTGGCTCCATTGGTTTCCTCGTGAAATGTCCCTCTGACGGCACCCATTTATATTTAAAATGTGACGGAATAAATATCAAAATATGCAGTTCAAGTCAAAAATTTCATGTCCGACCTCTTCTGATGGACTCGAATCAACCGTGCACCGGCAACCACGGACCCGTCACTGCGGAGTGCGGAGTCGTGGAAATATGAACGACTAACAGGAGAAAAAGCGCCTCCGTCCTGAAACGTGACGGAATGAGGCGAAGGTGAATGCCAATAGCCAATAGTGGTGAAGGAAAACTCCGACTAAACTCCAATAATAATTAATGGACCACTGTACAAAATGCAAATTCAAGCATTAAGATCCATGATTTCATAAAAATCTCACGTAGATTACGATTTGCGAATCTATAATTAATTGAAAATCTGTAGAGAGCGGAAAATACGAAAAAGAAGTAAAAAAAAAAATCGACAATGGATGATAAAATAAAAAATATATATAGCAAGATTTTGTGTTATTTTGCACCGATAGAGGGATTAAAAAAACGCTGGTACTGATCCCCCTCCCCGCTCCCCCTTGTAACGCAGCGTGACTCGAACTCATAACGCTCGCACTCCTCCTTCCTGGAGCGTTACGTAATTTGGACTAAATTTTGCAATTTGGAACTATAAATTCTACCCCGGTTTAAAAACCACGGGTGTGCCATTAGTTTCCCTATGCACATAAGTGTTTTTCCAGAAGAGCCAAAATTTATAGTTCCAAATTGCAAAATGCAGCCCATTTATGAACGCTCCCTCAGCTGCGTGGAAGAACTTTATCAGCGGAACTATGCAGTTGACTCGTTTCTCTGAATGATTTTAGTGATAGAGTGTGTAAGACCATGAAAGTCGAATATAATATCGTATTCGACGTCACTTCAAAACAGACAGTCGAATATGGTCATGTTGACAGGATGACGGGAGACAAAAGCCAAAAATAGATGATTATAGGGTTTCTCTCAGGAGGAGACGAAGGAGAGGGGGGAGGCCCAAAGGAAGGGTGGCCACAGGGGTAAGCGATCAGGGTGTCAACAAACCCAAAATCTGATCAAGTGATCATGGAGTCAACAATGGTTGACGCCGTGCTTAGGCAGTAAAACGTAAAAATGGGCCCTGAGTCTGGTGTTAACGATCACGGTGTTGAGTTGATTTGGCTCTCTCTGCATGCATTAGGGAGAAAGGAACCAATTTTCTACAAATTAAAATTACTTATTTTTCTTCCCCAAAGGACTAATGTATAACCCTGTTTGTCAGGCCATGAAGTACGAGGTACATTGAATCGTAAATACTATTAAAACAAAGAAAAATATGAATATGAATTATAATGCGGCAAATTTGACTTTGGTTAGAAGTAGAGGAACACAGCCTCCGTATGCAGTTACCTAAAATGAATTCAAACTTTGAGATAAGAATGTTTCTTCGTGAGAAATAAAAAAGAGGTTTCTGGAAAAAATATTCGTTCCTTTCTTTTAAGCTCGACCCGAGTAGTGCGAACCTGATACGTAAACGCTTGAAATAATTCGATCGGATGAAAATATGATGAGCCTACTCTGCCGTGCTGAGTAAAAGCGCCGCATAAAAATATGAATGTTGTATAAAATTTCCCTCCGTAAAATACTCATTTTTAAAGAAAGTTTTGAATATTTTTGCTTGAACTTTTCAAACTTTTCAGATCGAAGTCCAAACGAAATCCTCCGGAAAATGGGAAGAAAAATATTTACGAATTTTCTTAGAAATTAATCGTCTTCCGAAGGAAATTTGGCAACGTTAAAGGCTCATACGTCGCTTTTCCTTAGCACGGCAGTATTGAAGTTATCGAATGATACGCGAAATTCCGCTGCATGAACTCACCGTTAATATCCGTCTGAGGATGGGCCGTCTTGGATCGGTTCGCATTTGTGGGGTGCGAGTGCCTCGCATGGAATTCGCGTAATTGACAGCAATAGCCAATACAACCACAGTCAACAGAGATATTGATCCCATTTCGGTCAGCTCTTACACTCTCGAGGAGTAAACGTTGATTGCGGCTGTGAACTGAAGGGACACTTTTCACAAAATCAAATTTGAGTCGGTGACCTTTGCTCTACCCTCACTGATGGCAGTGACTGTTACCTACTAGCTTACTTCGAACGAACTCTTTCGCTTATATATATATATATCCATATATGTGCCAGAGTGACAGCGAACCCCAACACGTGACAAACTATTCGAACCGCGCTGACATTTTCACGAATTCCACTCTCGGAACCTGACCCGATTGCGTTATAAATTTTATGGGTCTTGCCATGAAAAATGACAAAAAAAAAAAAAAAAAAGGACTTGAGGGCTCCGAATAAAAGGAAGAGTCGTATAAAAAGGGCGCAAACGAGAGTGGAACAAAGAAGAGGATCGAAAATGAAACCCACTCCATTAGTTGTGAAATTTGTTGTCGGATAAAAAGTGTTGCTGAACGCCGAGCACGTGTAGTGCGAGTAAAAAGCAGCCCGTAGCAGATGACGCACTTCTCGATCTCTTGCCGTCCCAATCGGACCGATTTCAGCAGAAAGGAACAAAGCCACATCAGCTATCACCTTTAACCCTCTATTGCACATGTACACAAATATGTAATTTAACGTATTTTTTTAAAAAAAATTCTTCACGAGCGCAACAATGTTTCTGAAAGCATCTATGCAAGCCCAAAGTTGAATTCTTTTGGAGAAAAATGACGGAGCCCACTCCAATGTTGCTAAATTAGGTTAAAAAACGTGTTTTTCGGCAACCGTGGGCTACGTAGGTCGACTCTGGCAACGCATTTTCGGCGCAGGATGTAGGTTGGTAAGAGTGGTCGTATGACAATGAAAAAAATATGTGCATTTGCAGCATACGTCATACTTTTTTTAGGTGACAACAGGAAATAACAGATGCATAATGGGTTTTTAATAAAATGATTTTAAACCGAATAACATATATGTGATCTCATGCAACCAACTCTGGTGGCGATAATGACAAGTTACATATATGTCATTCCATGCAACCGATTCTGGCCAATAAGAACATACGGCTGATATTCACCTTTAATTTGATTTATGCTGGCAAAAACAGTCTCAGGCGCAGGATTATCTAATATCTAAGCAATATCTCATATCTAATATCTATATATAATAGATTATCTAATATCTAAGCTAATATCCGAGGCAATATCTAATCTCTCCTAACACTAATGTTTTCTTTTTTTTTTCAATGAAATGTACTTACGCATGTTTTTCGTGAAACATCTCTTTTTAGGGTCTTTACCAAAGTTGCATAGAATCACATACATGTAACTTCTCTTTTTATTTTTTTTTTAAAATCAAAGTTGCATAGAGCTACATATATGTAACTACCTCTTTGGGGGGCCATTGGGGAGGGGGAAGAGCCCCCTCCCACCCCCCAAAAAATTTGGGACCCTATTGGCGCGTATACGTAGTATACCGCCTTTGCGATCGTTTCGACCCCCCACTCGATACAATAACCGAGTCCCTTAGTTCCTTACCGAAAAGTGACTACCGCGAACTTCTGAGATTTTCCAAAGCGTGTAAAAAGTTTATTTATCCGTCAATAATTATGATTTAAAGTTGTTTCTCATTCTGGGGCTCTCTAGTTTATGTGTAATGAATACCAAGAGTCTACGTTACTTGGTTTTTCTTAAAAAAACCTTAGAATGCGACGCGCGGATTTAAAATATGCATATATAAGCAGAAGCAAGCGAACTGATTCGAGGATGGCTGATCAGGTCGGCACTCGTTGAACGAAAATTTCACTTCTTCGTTTTGTTTAAAACGTTGCTTTGACGGATCTCCACAACGGTGTTATGATTTTCAAAATTTGGTACTCCTTGCTCTGATAGCCGGGGCCAGCAGGATAGTGGTAAGTGCAATCTGTGATGAGCCTCGAGACTCATTAGACCATGTGCTAACCGTGGCCCATACAGAAATTCACTCCCCTATCAGGCCAAAACAGTGCACAGGCAGGCACAAAACCCAGGTAGTGTCCCGGTCCTGGCTCGGTTCGCCGCGTCGCTTCCCAGCTGAAGAACAAAAGGCAACCCTCGCGGCCCTCGCCACAGTCAGACCTAATTACTTTCACTCGATTACCCATTTCACCGTCACGCTGGGATCCATCAAATTTTCGAAAAAATTGTTTCGCGAGTACTTAGCAATTTTTTCCTTGCTCTCCATTCAAAGACGAATTGAAAGAGGTCTCATTCATAAAAATCGGCCGAATAGAAGAGAAGTTACAGTATTCGAAATCCGAAGAAATCAACGAAACTTCTCCATACAAAAAATAAAATGAAGGGGAAAAAAGAAATGTATAAATTACAATTAAATATAATTGACCTCAGAATTTGGCAAGCAATTCAACTATATAACGGAGAAAAAATTGGGAGAAATTACAAAAAATTCGCCTCTTGCAAGGGGCTTCCTTGTAAGAATTTTTATCTGAAGGCAAGGATTGAATACCTGCACAATACTCCATACAATACAGGGTGTGCCTGAACGAACATTTTTTTTTTGTGTGTCAAAATCGAAAATTCTAAATATTTTTTAACTACAGTGTCTCTTGAGTCGTTTAAGCCAAAAAAAAATTCCGTCAAGATTATGGAAAGTAAAGGCGTTTTAAAAGTATTCTGGGGCTATGTATCCTAACTGTGTCCACACATGGTTTCTGTTCAGCATATCCATGTGTAAGTATTTTTACACGCAGAATCTAATTTTCACGTCAGGGAGTCGACACATTTCGATTTTTTCCATTTTATACGGAAAATTGATGGTTTTTCGGGATTGAAATTATTATTGTTTCATGAAAAGTAAATGCACCCAAAATGACTATAGCATATTGATTTTTATATATTTGCATCCACGAAATTGGTTGGTAAATTCAACGAGTGAGTGCATCGACCTGGTATATCAAGTTTCTGTAATTTTTTACGGCAAATCGGTAGATTTTCGGGATGTAGATTGCTTACTTTCAATTCATGAATGAATAAAGCATGGACATGGTTGAACTTCTTTGCATGGAAATACGTTTAAAATAACAAAATCAAGATATATTTAATGCAATTGCATTTATATCGAGTCAATTTCTTTTCAATAATATATCGGGATTTATAATAGGTACCGGTGATTTGGATATTTTAGCCCCAAAAAGACCTTTAAATCGACTGTATCTTTCAGGAGTTCGACAGAATTTTTCCTTTCTTCGCTTAAATTATTCCGTAGCACTTTTCTTTAAGAATCTGATAAGATATTGCTGGGGGCAGATCAAAAAACTTAAACTCGTTCGAATGGCTTTCTACATTCACAATACAAGGTCTCGTCAAAGTGCGTCGTTGAAGAGTTGGATCGTATGAATTCTCTTGTTGTGCTACTTGCCTATTTTGAAATCTCTGTAAATGAAAACTAAAGGGGTTGATATGTGTGAGTTAATGACGCGCCTTATCAACACATTGTGTTGGAGTTCACTGCTTGTTTTTTTTTAAATATCTTTCAGTGAAATTTTTTTATTTCTGAATCCGTGATTAAAAATTAATTCATGCAATAAAAGGGTTGATCGGGAAATTTAGTGTTTCGCATAAAGACGGCTGTGCGGCCTTTTTGTGCTGATTTCAGTGAAAATGCTCCATGGTACGAAACAAATTACTAAAAATTTTCAAAGGAATCCGCACAAACGTTCTCTTGTATAAAATTAAATTGCCCTATTAAAGTTGGCAATAGCTGACGTGGCTTGGATCCTTTTTCTGCTAAACGCGATCCAATTTATGACTATTGGAAATTTGCGATTAGCCGTAGCCCGTGCCTCTCATAATTTAATATTTTTTTCCCTAGAAGAATAGGACCCTGATTCAATCTATATCTCAATCGGTATCCAGCGTAAAAGCTTGGCGTTTAACCAGATCGTTCTATCAGCCTCTCCTGTGCTACAGTGGTGTATTTCTGTCAACGTCAGCCCGTGCCATATGCCAGTGCGGCGTATATCACTTTATTCACTGCTGATGTTATGCCTAACGGTGATTCCGGCAGCCACCCAATAATTGATTAACCATTTTGTATTTATATTTATTTTTTCTCTAGCGATATTTCTATTTTCTTTTGATGTAAATTTTTAATTCTGTAATAACTTTATTGGATGGCGAATAAACAAACAAAAAAAAAAAAATCACTTTATTTAAACGCAAAAGTTCCTATAATTCTCTCTCCCCCCCCCCCTAAATATTCTGAATCCTCTGATGGATTTGATTAAGAGTGAAAATTTACCATGGAGTACCTATGAGTGCTTTGGTATGCGGGTTACCTGGGATCGAAAGATGGATAGGCTATCAAGGAGAAGAACACCTCAGAAGGGAAGGTTATATACTACTGGTTCAGAAAAGACGCAGTACAACAAATTTTCGAACATTTTTATGATTTTTGCGCGAGCTTTGCTCGCGTGATCGTTATTATTATCGACGCATGCACCATTTGGAGGTCGAACTCAAAACGATCGAAATAAGCTATATTCTGTTTTCGCGCGCCTAATGTCTCACGATTCCAAAAGCTTTCACGCTTACGGAAAATCCAACTTTTCCCGTGATTTTTTCTCTTTTTTCCTGCTACTTTAATGGCTTCGAGTCTTGCACCTTCAGCCAACTTTTAGGTCTCGATACACGATCAAATTCCCGAACCAATTACCATCAAAGTGTCGGGAGTTATCCGTCTTAAAATAATTCCTTTGCTTAATTTTAAAATGAAAACTCGGCGGCAATGTTTCGTGCGGCAGGAAAAGATGAATGGTGGCACTCCATTCTGATAAAAATTTGACGGCCCGTCCAATTTTGATCAAAGAGGACTGTTGCATGGTGACCATCAGTCATCAACTGGTCTACTTTCATCAGAATTGGTTTGGACGTTGATCGTGTATCCAGGCCTTCAAACTAAATTTTGTTGTCCGTAGACATCATAGAGTAAAAGGGATTGGCACATTCCATGCTCCAGGCTTTTCAGATTTTTAGGGATTAAGGCCGAGTGAGATCTGTTTCTGCAGATCCACTCGTCAGTTCCGTGAAAATTTGACGCTACTACCGGGATTCGAACCCGGGACCTATTGACTTATTGTTAGAGCCAAGCGCGCCAGCGAGTGATGGGGGTCCTGTTTTTAATACCTGCAGCTCTCATAACTAGAGAGCGTACATAGTTGACAGGAATTTTTTTTTGAACAATATTAAGCCACAAAAAACGAGCTCTAGGTTGCGTGGTTTGAGCTCCTATTTAAACTTGAGTCGATGGGTCATCCAAGATGGCGGCCGTGGACGCCCACTGGAGAATGGTCACACTGTGCGTAAAAGCGTATCTGAATTTCCATGTGAGCCCTGTTGTAAATATAACGCTACGCTTTCTGAGGTTCATTTGATAATTCACATCAGAAAAGAATCGCTCACTGAAAAAAAATTCTCGGCGTTTTTACGAAGGTCCGTTGGTACCTTTACCATCTCACTTTTTTTACCAATTATTGATAATTTTATCAAGACGGACTGGTAAGCTTACCTAAAAACCGGTATTTTTACTGTTTTTTTTTAGGTAAGAATATACCACTTTTATTGGTAATCAATTCCTGGTAACGTTGCCATTTTATCTCGGTAATTCTACCATAGTCGATAAAGAATATTGGCGTTTTTACCAAGGTCCAGTAAAATTACCGAGAAAGTCCAATAATTTTACCGAGATTTTTCGGTAAAATTACCAATTCCATAAATGGTAATTTTACCTAGAAAAAACTGGGATCAAATAGAACCCTGAATTCTTGGTAATTTTACCCTTTTCTTAGTAAATATACCGAGATTTTTTTTTCAGTGCATATCTCCTTCGACGAATCATGAACTTTCGGGGAAATTTGTTGATATTTTCCCCCGATTTTTTCAGAGAATTTCGTTCTTAATTTGATCTAAAAAGTCTGAAAATTTCAAGGGAAAATATTCATAACTTTCTTCAAACATAAACACTCTCCAGGAGAAAATTTGGCAACTCTCGAATTTTCATACGGCGTTTTTCCTTAGCACGGCAGAGCAGTAGAAACGTTCCCTACGATAATGTCTTCCTCCGACGCACTTGTTGTAAGTACATGTGACTTTGAAGAGATGGATTCTCTCACTTACATCTATCCACTAATTTCTTTTTTTTCTCTTTCCTCGTGTGCGAAATCTATCCAAATTCATGAAATATGTTTTAAAAATTTACTTACATATTTGAATGAGCGTAATTCATACTATTACAAAAAAAACGGATGGAACTTGCTTGATACTCACCTAAAACAAACAAAGAAAAAAGAGACATAAGTAAATCGCATTCTATTTTTACTGTTTTTTTCAGGTAAGAATACCACTTTTATTGGTAATCAATTCCCGGTAACTTTGCCATTGTATCTCGGTAATTCTACCACAGTCGATGAAAAATATTGACGTTTTTACCAAGGTTCAGTAAAATTACCGAGAAAGTTCAATAATTTTACTGAGATTTCTCGGTAAAATTACCAATTCCATAAATGGTAATATTACCAAGAAAAAACTGGGATCATATAGATCCCTGAAATCTTGGCAATTTTATCCTTTTCTTGGTAAATACACCGAGATTTTTTTTTCAGTGCATAGTGAGGCCATTCGTCGATGGGCCTTCATGGCCGCCATTTTGATTGGCCCGCCGACTCGCGTTTAAATGGGAGCTCAAAATACGCAACTTTGAGCTCGTTTTCATGGCACTATACATATTGTTCGAAGAATCGGGGAACATGCCTGTTAACTATGTGCACTCTTTAAGTTATAAAAAATGCAGGAATCAAAAATTACTAGACAAGCTCATTACGCAATGTGCCATTAGACACGGTACAAATTGAAGCATTCTGATACATATTTGTGAACAAAAATTTCACGAAGAATACAATTCGCGCATCGAAAGTCACCGAAATCAACTCCTAACCAAGATATTTAATGTTTCGTGAATTCAAACCTCTCGCTCATAAAAACTCAATGGTTTGCGTGAGTCAAATCGCACACTAAACATTGCCGTGGCAGTCTCTGCAATACGAAAATATAGTACACTGGAAGAAAAGGAATCTTAAATTTGCCGCCAAGACGTATTTCTTCTTAAATCAATAATTTTTCTGGTTAATATAAGCTATACTTTTTTGCTCAACTCAAGCATTATTTTTCTTATATCAAGAAAAGGTCAGCTTAAAGCAAGAAAAAAACATTTCTTGGCGGCAAATTCAAGAATCATCATGCTTTATCCAAGCTATTTTTTTTTTCAGTTTAGCCTCAATCATGACACTTTGGCTCAGCTATAGCAAATTGTTTACACTTTGAACGATAAAGGTTGGGAAAGGAACAGTGCTCGATTGAGGAGCCTGCCGATACTGTCTTGAGGCGTGATTTAACTCACGTAAAGTACGAGGGTCATCCAAAAAGTAAGTTCACCCCTTTCATATCTCCGAAACTAAAAGGGATAAATCAAATCGGTAAAAAAGGACTTCTTACTTATATCCTCAGCTCTCCATAGGTACCAAGATTTTTAAATTTGGACCACTGGTTGCCGAGATATTCGATTATTACTTGAACAACTCCCGGCCAGTTCCGTCCACCAAACGATGCGCTGATATGAGATGCACCGCACGCTGTCACGTCGCTTTTGTCTTCTGGGACTCTCAAGGAGTACTTCTCGTCCATCATTTGGAGAAAGGGTGTACAATCAATGCACCACGGTATTGTGGAATATTGAATTCGTTGCGATTGGCAATAAGAAACAAGCGACCGGGTCTCTTGTCTCGTGGTCCCCTATTCCTTCACGATAATGCCAGACCTTACACGGCGAAAGAGACCCAAAATTTGTTGGACACATTTGCGTGGGAGGTGTCACCTCATCCTCCATACTCTCCAGCCCTTGCCCCGATTGACTATCATATTTTTCCGCAACTCAAGAAGCACCTAGGTGGCCAGCGCTTCGAGAACGATCAGCAGGTGATGGAAGCAGTCAATGGCTGGTTCAAGAGTCAACCAAAAGTGTTCTTTGAGAACGGCATTAAGAAGCTTCAGAAACGCTATGAAAAATGCATCTATAGGAACGGAGATTACGTCGAAAAATAAGGTAAGATTGTTTTAAAGCCAATCTTAGAATATTTGAGTTGGTTATTCCTACGTAGATGTGTGGGGAACACAGTCAATTCAGGTAGCGTGACGGGAATCGCAGCGCATCGTTTGGTGGACGGAACTGGCCGGGAGTTGTTCACGTAAAAATCGAATAACTCGGCAACCAGTGGTCCAAATTTAAAAATCTTGGTACCTATGGAGAGCTGAGGATATAAGTAAGAAGTTATTTTTTACCGATTAGATTTATCCCTTTTACTTTCGGAGATATGAAAGGGGTGAACTTACTTTTTGGATGACCCTCGTATTAGTGGGGCCGATAAGCATAACAATCGTGCACTTCTGGAAGAAAGCATGAAAATTTCAGGGATTCATCTCTACCCTATAGACATTCGATTTAGACATAGACTCCAAAAATCTGAGCCCCCTGGGGGGGCAGGGGGGCCCCCAAATTTTGAATTTTGAATAACTACTGAACGGCTAATGTTAGCGTGATTTTTCTACAACAGGACGATTGGAAATTTTATTAGGAACAAAAATGATTCTTATGCGTTTTTCTGTGGGATCGATATTTAAGGCGTGAAACTGGGAAAAACCATCGGGGGACGGGGAGCCGGCCGTTCTGAGGCAGATCCGCGCGCTACGCTGCGTGCCCGGGACGCGCATCGCGGCGCAGTACGGTGTTACCGACGACACAGCCGCTTGTCTTGGTTTAATCTCAACGATGCACAGTTTTAAAAATAATTATGAATATATCGTACTACCTATAATGCCTTAAAATAGGGCTTAACTTTTGCAGGTAATATAGGTATACAAGCAAGCGCACGGCAACAGAAGGAGAAGGGGTGAAGTGCTGGAGTTCCGGACTGTTTTGTTGTTTGGGTTAGTGAAGTTTTATTAGAGCAGCCGAGATAACTGTATCAGACATCAGTTGAACGGAATAAAATCTGACGCACAGTTGTCTTGCGAAGGGGGGGGGGGCTAGAAAACATAAATCTTATTTGTATACCACGATGACCTGAAAAATGATTTTAAAGTTTTTTTTTTCTTTTTCTCGGTGCTGCGCCACCAGAATGGTATCTAAATCTGCTTACATACCCTAAAGTTCCTGGCAGACGGCTTCCAGCCAGACTTTGGAGACAGGGAACCTAATTTTGTAAAAAAATGAGTATACATAAAAACATGCTTATTCTCCTCTCTTAAAGGAACATTTTGGTACATCAATGCTACGTTTAGGCATCTTTTTAAGAGGACCAAAACCATATTCAAAACTTGCTTCATATAAACGCCAAAAGAATCTTGAGAAAGCTTTGATACGGATAAAAGACCCCCATAAAACCTTTGTTGGACTGTTTCTTGT